TCCTATTGGAAAATATAAGGAGAATAAGTTGAAGAAAGGTGATACAATTCACTATATGCTTGCTAATACAGAGTGAAAAGGAAATGTGGAAAATCAAAAAAGAGAGATAGATTCTACATTTAGTCCAAGCCTTCATAAAATTTGCAAAATTATAGTATCAAAAAACAAACTAGTTTTATATTATTTAAATGAAAAATTTGTATCAATATATGGATTTGTACAAGAAGAATTAATGCACAAGAATATTGACACACTTCAGAATCTGTTCCAGAGTATATTGAAAGAAAATACTCATTTCAGATTTACTAATTTCATTTATATTATTAATGAAGTGACTAAGGTTGAAGAGTATGTAAAGAAGAATTACAGAAAATATCTTGATAAAACTAGTTAAATAAATAATTTCGATATATACAGTATCTTTGATCATATCAAAAAGGAAAGCATCAGTAATATGTATCTTATAAGATTTAGAAGTATAAATTTGAATGGTGTCCTTTATGTCCTTATTTTAAAAAAGAGTGATCTGTGAGATATATTTTCAAAGATCTACTTGGTAAAAAATTTTTATCATATAAACTATTATTTTTGAATGGAATACAATTAGATGGATATAATAAAGAATTGAAATTGGTATATGAATTTTAGGGACCTCACCATTTTTCTGAGAATTCAATGTTCCATAAATGAGGCAAAATAGACTTAAACAGTCAACAGATGCGAAACAAAAAAAAGCAGGATATACTGTATGTGTTTGAGAAGGTATAGATTTTATCAAAGTGCCTTACACATGTGATTTATTTTCCTATATAAAAAGCAAATTACAAGAGAGAGGATATTATTTTATAAAGAATAAATATTACTTATCTGGCTAAGCATAAAAGATAAAGATATGCCTATATTTATATACAACATTGATGAGACATCTAAAAAATCTTTAGAACAGATGAAAGGTAACAAATTTAGTCCAGATGCCCTATTCAGATTGCTAGTATGTGGAGGGTCCAATAGTGGAAAAACCAATATAGTAATTAATCTTATACTAGGCAATAAATTACAATGATTGTTTAAAGATAAGAAAGGAAATCGTTATATCAAAAACGATGACCTTGTATTGATAGGTAAACATTTTGAGCCGAAATGGCAACTTGTACAAAATAGCTTTCAGATCTTTGCGAATGCCCCTAAATTATATCGAAAATATTTCACATTTAAAAGGATATCTCCAGATAAAATTCCAGATATACTGTAACTAAATTCTCTCCAGAGTGAAGTACAGTTGTTGTATTCGAGGATCTATACACCGAATTGAAAAAAGTACAAGAACCAATTATTCCTTACTTCATTAATGGTCGGCATCAAAATATCTCACCCATATATGTAAGCCAGAAATATACCCAAATACTTAAAATAATTTGTGAAAATATTTCGCATTTATGCTTATTCTGGGAGGCTGAAAGCCGAGACATTTGCAGAATCATGCAACAATATACGGATAATCTGAAAAAAGCTTCTAAGATTATTGATAAGATCGAGAATTCATGGTTTTTGATTTTACTTAAGGCTATCAATGATCCTTTAGCAGTTAGACTCAGTTGGGACCAGTCTCTTGATCTTTCTAATGAGTAGACACGAAGAGCCATTTCTCCATGATTCACAATGATGAGATAATATTTATTTTTTTTGTTATTTATTAATGCAACAATATAATACATCTATCTGCCACTTTTTATATTATTGAGAAGCTGATCGATCCTGCCGATTTGAAGTTAGAGTGATGGTTTTAATATCTTATTCACTACAATTCTCCAATGAAATAGCTATCAGTATCTAGCCTGATTGAGGTTGAAGTAAATGTTAAAAAATAAATAAATTCTATTTGTACCAAGAGGGTTTTTTGTGTCGGATAAAATAACAACTAAAGTAAAAAATATTACTGACCCTCAGGATAACAAAATAAAGTCTAAAGTCTATGCTCCTATTTCTAAAAGTTGCTTTCGGAATCTAACCTGCAATTGACTCTTTTTAGAACTTATTCAATTAACCGGAATATAATATTCTTTAAATGTTTTAATATCATATTCAATATAAAATGGTAATCTGTTATATTTTTTTCTATATTCAACAAATTCTTTAGTATAGCATAATTTTAATTGATCTAAAGATAATAAGATTTTTCACTTTGTAAGGGGTCATACCTAAAAATTTCTCATCAGAAGTATTATCATTTCTTAATGAATTCCAAGCTCGAGTGGCTAATGATTCAGGTCTATTCTTGTAATTTTTCCAAGCTCTTTGTATAATCCTTGCTTTTCTAAAATCAGTCTTTGGTTTGTCGCATTCATTATTCCAATGACCGATCATCAAATCACTAGGTACGAGATGTTTTTTTGGGTTGTACATCATTGATTTTTGAGTTTCCAGCAATCAAAACAAATAGCCATATGACTTTTATGGATTCTTGGTCTATAATAATTGAAATTGACAAATTTACCTTTACCAAATGATGCGAATAAACATAGCCGGTGATATACACTAAATTTCCCGGTATTTAATAAATTCTGTAAAGGTACTCTGACCCGTATTGCCCATTGAACCGGTGTTTCATTCTGTTTTATGATAGATAATGTATCAAATAATCTCTCATTATCGAAAATTTGATTGAGTTTATTAGCATAAGTTCCACCATAATGTAATATATACGATACAGCATACTTCATATCAAAACAAGGACGATTAGTATATGGTTTAGGAAATGTTTTATCTTTTTATCAATAATAGTAGCGATATCAAAACCAGACATATTTATCGATTAAGATATTTAGACCTACCTATAACTTTATACAATATGAATATACGATTCAATTTTAGTGTGGATAATTGTTGCATAATCTCGGATGTATTACAAGATAGAAAAATCGTGTATGCGTGACGAATTGTGTCACGCCGATCACTTTTACCAAGAAAAAATAATAATAACCAGTGTCACAAAAGACAACTCAGCATACAATAATTAAAAGGTCAGGCACATAGTGCTATAATCATAGCTTTAATATTTTAAAAATTAATATATTGAGAGTAATGGACTGGCTGATTAAACAATAAAAAAATGATTTAAAGATCACGTTTAAAAAGAGGAAATACACTGGCCTTTTAAAAGTTTGATATAAAATATGGTAAAACTAATATTAGATATTGTTAAAGAAATCGCATGTAATAAAGAAGGTAAATGTTTCTCTGAAAGATATATTAATAAAAAAACACCAATGCTTTGAAAATGTTCTAGAGATCATGAATGGATTGCACCTCTTACTAGAATAAAATCATGGTGTCTACAATGTTCTGCAAATCATCCTACTCGAACCAGAACCATTAAGGATATGCAAATACTTGCAGAAAAAAAAGAAGATGGTTGTCTTTCAATTGAGTATATTAATAGACAGGATCCTCTTGAATGGCAGTGTAAAAAAGGTCATAAATGGAAGGCTTCAGCAAAAGATATTATTAATGGAACTTGGTGTCGGCAGTGTCGATTTCTCAATATTGATATAGCAAAAAATATTGCACAAGAACGAGGTGGTGAATGCCTTTCTACAGAATATACTACTCCAATGTTTTGGAGATGCATCAAAGGCCATAAATGGTCTACAACTCTTTATCGAATAAAAAATATTAGAAGATGGTGCTCACAATGTGCTGGTAATTTTCCTTGTGGTCTTATGGAAGCTAAGGAAATTGCTTACAGTAGAGGAGGTATCTGTCTTTCTACAGAATATATAAATCTCTGTGTTCCAATGCAATGGATGTGTAGTAAGGGTCATAATTGGTTTGCAAGTTTTAATGGTATAAAGCACGCTAAATTATGGTGTCCATATTGCTTAAATAAACACGAAAATCTATGTCGTAAAGTCATAACTAAAATTCTTGGCCCACCCTCTGACATCCACAAACCAGATTTCTTGAAAAAATCAGAGTATCCTCGTGGAAAAGAGCTCGACATCTACTATCCATAATATGGATTTACTATAGAGGTGCAAGGAAAACAGCATGAACAACACGTAAAACATTTTCACAAAAATGAAGAAGACTTTAGGGAGCAATTAATACGTGATCGGATCAAAAAAGAACTCTGCGAAGAAAATTGGATTGTTCTAAGATATATTTGGTATTATGAGGATCCCTATCTAGTCATTCCAAATCATCTTCGAGAATTGGGTCTCATTGAACTTTAAATACTAATCGGTATTACAGTATGAAAAATCCACTTTTTTTAATCAACTGAAAAACTTTTATTGTTCATATTATATAATTATACAAGATAAAGAATTAATCATGAAATTCTAGAATGTTGTAAATGAAAATATTTTATTCATAATCTATGTAAGATCCATATTTTCGCATCAGTCCAAGATGTCCACATATTGCAGCCATTTTTACATTAATAAAGATCAATTATCCAGTTGAAAAAGAGCATTTGCATACGAAAGTCGCGAAGGTCTTTGTTCAGTTCTTGAATTATCAAAGGATGTTGTAACATCACGAACCAATAGCTAAATTTATAAATACATAATATTAGTGGAAGTTTAATATCATAACATAAATCCGCATGAATACATACCGCCCATTTCAATACACATTCATAGAAATAAACGAAATATTTCATTTCAGAAAATTTCCGGGAAAGATTAGCATTATCAACCTCGTTTAGTCTATACGTTCCTGAAGTAATATTTAGTAACAAATCATTAGTACATTCTTACAGTGTAATTTCTCAATAGAAAGAAAATACATACCACAATAATCAAGACGAAAACTTTGACCACCAAATACGTACAGCTTCTTTGGTAAACGTCGCCTGCTTTTGATTGTTTCCTTTACAATTTTCGCAAATATATTCTTTAAATTCTCTGCTATTTTTTTGACATCATCGATTTCCTTTTTATCTTTTGTTACTGGTCTCGAGCCTTCAATATAAATAAGCTGATACTTATCAGCATCTGTCATATACCCGACTCCATCAGCACGATTACCATTAATGTGACTTTTTGATGGGATCTCGCCATATTCATAATGTATATCTGCAATGTACCACAAAAAAGCGTCAAAACATGGATGAACAAAAGCATTAAGATGTGCATGTTCTATTGTGGTAATATTTAAAAGTGGGGTTTGTTCTTCAAGCGAAAATGCCTTAATACTATACAAAAGAAAAAAAATATTCAGAACAGAATCTGAAAAAATAAATCAATATGATAATGCCTACATACAATTGTGGCAATGTACGACGTAAAACTCGAACTACAGCACTCAGTATAAAATCAACCTTTTCGGGTGCTCTTAAATCATCAATTTGGTAATTCCACTCCTTGGCTGTTAGATTTTGTGAAAAAAATTTAACAAGAAATTCGTGAACATTTACGGGAGCCAATGATTCGGTAATGCTATCCATCTCCGCTAGATATGATCTTGCTATCGATTTTGGAAGTTTTTTGAAAAAGGATGAATTGAATCGAAGGTCAATTAGATCGCCATTAGGATCTTGTTCTTTACAAGTCAAAAAAATTTCTTTTGTTGCATCTGAGTAATCAATAGTGATTCCTAAGATATCTGTTATCTAATAAAAAAAAACCAACAGTATTAGAAATCCGTTAGCTAAAATGTATTATTAAATAATTACTTACCGTATCGTCTAGAACGGGTTTTTTCTCACTATTCTCTTTTGAAAGATCTTCAATGTTCAATCCCTTTTCACTTCTTGTTTCCTCCTCACTTTCTTGAAGGGAACTTTCATCCCCGTCAGTTGCTTCTTCAAAAAATTCCTGATAATCCGGTATATTTCTTCCGCTTCTTGTTTGATGGTTTTTTATCGTGTCCTGGTCTTCCTAAAATCATTGAAATACAAGATGGTTGGTTTTTCTGATTATTAATTTCATATAAAAAAATGTGCATCTGTACCTACTCTCGATCTGCTTGCTTTCTTTTCATTGATGATACACCACTTATAGTTTTATCATTGACAGTCGCAATATTTCCGGAGAATGTCGAATTATGAATATTAACTGAAGGACCAGAAAATATTTCACGTGTTCCTTGTCCATTCTTCCAATCCATAGCACGTTTGCGGTCAACTCGAATACCCTTACATAGAAGTAAGAAATTAGCAATATATAATTCTCCAATTTTACTATCAAATCTACTATCCAATTTTCCATCCCACCAGATCGGCGAACAGCCTTTAAACATCAGACAACCGAGCAGGTCATCTGTGCCCTAATGGGACCAATGTAAAATCGGCGAACAGCCTTTAAACATCAGACAACCGAGCAGGTCACCTGTGCCTCGACATTGGTTTTGTGGCTCGGCGAACAGCCTTGAATAACAAGAACCGAGCAGGTCCCTGGTACGCCACCATTTTTATATACTTCTGATAAAAATTTTTAACTTGCCTCTCTATATCTCTAAAGGAGAGATTCCGCCATTGCCTTCTTCTTGCCTTTCTCACGGTCAACAATGGTTGTAAGGCTTTTAAGGTACTTATCTATTTTTCGTTGAAAAGGTTCTTCGTTACATTCCCTCAAAAAATCAATGATGTTCCAGTCTACAGACTTGCGGTTAAAGTATTCATGTATTTCGTTGGACATGGTAGTTTCGAGATAGGCAAATAGTTTATTTATTTATTACATAATCATGCTATCACGCATTGATGGAATAGAGGGTGTGGTTTTAATACTTATCTTGGTTTCTGGTAAAATTTCTTCGCATACTTTAGTTTCTATATCAGATTTCAGTTGGCCGTATGTGCGTGAAGAATTCTTCACACCTATCAATTTTTGAGATTTAGACGATAATACTTTCGCATCTAACTCTTTAGTATAAAGATTTATAATATTTTGAATTTGTATACCGGTTAAACTAGAAATAGCATCAGCACTATATGTAATATACTCAATTTTATCTATTCCTGTACCTTTGAATAATGTATAAATAGATCTAGCTTTTTGAGTCATTTTGCGCAAATACTCTCTCTTGATACCAGGTAGATACTGCATCATTTCATCATATATTTGCATTCTCGCCATTTGATCACTGATATTTTTTCTGAACTAAGATCTGAAACTTTTTTTTCATATCCCTCACTATAATAATACCATCGCAATTTTTCTTTTCGTCCAGTTTTCTCGGCCTTGCC